TACAACTGAGGAGTAGCACAGATCCAAGAAGGACAAGTTGCTGAGGAAGAAGTACATGGGGGTTTGAAGCTGGGCATCGAGCCGGATGACAGCAATGATGCCAATGTTCCCCACCATGGTGATGACATAGATGAGCAGGAAAACCACAAAGAGGGTAACCTGGAGGTCAGGGCGATCAGTGAACCCTTTGAAAACAAATTCTGTCACCGTAGTCCAATTTTCCCAAGCCATCAGTGTGCAAGAGACACCCAGCTCTCAGACTGGGAGGCAATTTCCATGAGCTCAGTTATGCTGACTTAATCCCTTGCTTCATCATTAGTGGTTTTGAATCCTGTGCTCTGTAGATAATTAGGACATCTCCTAATGAAACACTGCCAGACACCCTGGCAGGATGCTCAGGAAGACCACAGCCACCTGGCCATGCAGGGACCCACGTCTACCATCTTAAACCAAGCTGATCTAAGCTTAAACCAAGCTTATCTTCTACCTTCATGTACTGATCTCAAGGGAAAAAGTATAAAACCAACAAAGGAAGTCTTCCTTGGGACATGACCATGGTCTTCACGATGTGTGTTGTTTCCATCCATCTGCAGTTTTCACCACATGAAGGGCAGAGCAGCTCAGATTCGTTGATGGTTCTTCTGATAATACAGAAACTGGATGAACAGTAGTGTCCACTCTGATTTTCAGGTTGATAATGTCCCAGAGACTCTTATCACAGGTAGCTCAGGGTTTGAATTTGTTGCTTAAGGCTTCTTATTCTAAGTGCTCAGAAACAAAAATAGTGTGATAATTTAAAAAATGTTATTGCTAATCAAGTTAGAAGCTACTTTGAGGGATAAATTGCATTTCAATAACTGCTCTCATCTCATGAGAATAAATACATGAGCAGAAGGGCAGATGTGTTGCTTTCCTTTTCCAATATCTTCCAGCTCAGCTGGTAACTTGCTAACAGTTGTGCTTTTCCCTTTGTTTCTATCATTTAACTTGCATTTTAAGCAAAGAGTAGTTTCCAAAGTACTTTCAAGCAACTGATTAACATGCCAGATTAAGCTCAGAAAATAAAACCTGCTTTTAGAATAAAAAGTTGTAACATAACCGTGTCTCAAACACAGAGGTTTGAGGGCAGTTTTAACGTAGTTCCCTTTTCTCTACAAAAAAGCCTCAGTCTGCCCTCACACCAGGCTGGTATGACTTCAATTTCTTATTTATTCCCTAGTCCAGTCATCCGCTTGACCCTGACGACTCACAGCCCTGTGCTCCTGCCACCCACCAATTCCACCACCACCCCCCAGGCAGTACCTGAGATGCCACCTCTTCTGGTTTCCTGCAGAAGATCCAGCCTTTTCCAGTCTGAACTACTTCTGTGCCCACCTCTGTCACTGGTTTCTCCAAGGACATCATGCAAACGACAGGTAGAACTTGCACCTTTTTATTTCTGGGGAAAACTAGAAGAGTAACAGCGCAGAAAATGAGACAGTTTCCTGTTAAATTCACTTGAAGGTGCATCTCAGATAGGAGAAAATAATTAATATACCCCCAGAAAGGACTGTTCCTGGGG